CCCAATCACCTCTCCCCTGCCTTCAGCCTTTTAAAACCTTGAATCCAATTCAAGCATTATTTTTTGGGTTATGTCTAGTTTATCCAATCACAATCTAAGTTGCACTTTAGTGAGAGTGGCCAATTTCCTAATGCTCTAGGTAAATTTGCTTTACACTTTTGTATCTTAATGCTATTTTTGTTATTAATTTTTAAGTTTTATTGGTTTGTTGTTATGTTTATAACGTTTTTTAGGTAAAATTATAAAAAAAACCCTCTCTTATAACAATTCTATAAACTACCCTTGTGTTTTGACCCTAACAAAAGCCTCCCCTATAGTTTTGAAAAAAAAAACTGCAAATACCTCCTTTTTGTTAGATTTTCCATAACAAAGTCATTGAAGTTACTAAAATACCCTTATCATTAAGGCATTATCATACACAATTTAAAGTTTCAACTTTACCCTCCACTAATTTATTTTGCTTGTCAGCGTTCAAAGAATAATTCTCTCTATTCTTTTTAGACAAAGTAAGTAAAATGGTTGAAGTAAAAGGAAGCAAATATTTTAAGGTATTTTAGTAAATTTACATTTGAATGAAAGTTGGTTAAGGGAAGATTTGATATTTTAAAAAGATTAATGCATTATAGCAGCATTTCTTATTTGGAATGCTAAGGAAAGGATGGTATTTGCTCGTTTTTTCAAAACAATAGGGAGGGATTTCATTAAAATCAAAAAACAAGGAAGTTTAAATTGATTTTAAACTATATTTAAATGGAACTTAAATTGATTTTAAATTAATTAAACTATATAAAAAATAATAAATTTTTATTTTTATTAATCCTTATTAAATTTAATTAACTATATTAAGTTTTTATTTTTGTATTAATTCTAAATGGAAATTAGTTTTTAATTTACCTTATTGCTTTTTATTACATTTATGAAAATATTTTTATCAATAAAAAAAATAAGAAAAGAGAACGCGGTGAGCGTGGATCGAACACCCGCAAACAAATACTTATTGCACCAGCCGGTAATCGAACCCGGGTCTGTACCGTGGCAAGGTACTATTCTACCACTAGACCACTAGTGCACATTTGATTAATTGCTTTGTAGGTTCCTAATGATCCTTGTGATTGGAACTATGGAACCCACTAGTTCAGATGCTTATGAAGAAGCAAAACACGATCCATTTCTTTCTTTGGAAGTGGGACCAACATGAGTTATTTATGTATCATTTCACCTCAAGAAACATGAACAAGATTTGTAGTTTAATGAATCTGTTGTATAAGTGTTAGGTGCATTGAGTTCTAGTTGTGATCTATTCCATGACCCGATCCCGAAGAAGTTGAGAAAAGAAAATCCGATAGTACAATTTTAGGGTATGTTTGGTTCATAGTTGGAATAAGAATTAGAGTGGTCTATTCCCACAATCTGTTTGATTCAGATGGGAATGGGAATGGCAATTAGAATCAAAAGGAATGAGATTTTATTCTCAAGAGAGGAAAGGGAATGACCATTCCCTCAAATGGGGGAATGCCATTCCACCAAGAAAGCAAGAATGGAAATGGCATTCCAATTCCACCCAACCAAACAGTTGGAATTGGAATAGCCCATTCCGATTTTGAATCTAAACCCCTATTGCTGTAAACCAAATGGGGCCTTATAGGAGACCTGATCTTCTCCTTACATAGGGCGTCTCACACCGACCTCACATGAACATCCTACCATATAATGGGAACATCTCCCGTACTTATTAGTTATTATTCATGGGAGATGTTCTTAATGCACGGTTGATGTGCCTGTGAGGCGCCCATTTGTGAGGAGCAGATCCCGTTCCACCTTATAGTGGCCTGTGGTGGAAGCAAAGGGCTTGGGTGCAGGGGTGAAACCACAAGCAGTATAGTTTGGAAAAGTAACAGACAGCTGATTTGGGCTCTCCAAATTTTTCACCAAGGCTCAGTTTGGAAGGAGTACAAATGCAAATATGTAGAATGCAAAACCTTATATTTTGTATTAGTCTGTATGTATTTACACTCTACATATTTGTATTTATACTCCTTCCAAATTGAGCCCAAGACTCAATTTGAAAAGAGTACAAATACAAATATATACAGTGTAAATACATATCAAATAATACAAAATATAAGGTTTCACACTCTACATATTTATATTTATACTCCTTTTTCAAACTGAGCCCAAACAAAACTTATAAGCTGTCTGAGTGAGGACCGCCCCTCAGAAAGCCAAAAGCTGAGTTCAGAACTTCATAAATGTGCCCCATAACGTCTCACAGCACATCCCCGCCATGTATTAAGAACATCTCCTGATGATAACATCATCATTTCTGGTACTATCACCAGGAGATATTCCCAATACATGGCAGGGGATGTGTTGTAGGGCGTTCCCTAGTGGGGTGCAGATGTGAACTCCCAAAAGCTACTGTTTTTCAATAACCCTTCCAAACAGACACCTATGAGTTATGAACCAAAACAAGTAGCTTAATAGCTTCATCCTCGTTGGTAGTGGAGCTGAAGCACACTTCTGGAAGGAAAACTTTTTTTGTGAAAAGTTGCTTCATCAATCTTCTTTTGAAATGGAAGCTGATTCTTGAGCATCTGTTCTACATTAAGTGAGGCACGGACAAGTAGTGGGCCAGAACAGTGAATCTTTGTAGCCTTGGGATCCATAACCCTGATGAAGAAAAAGAAAAACGATCAGTACCTGATGATTATAAACTCTACCAGAAATAAACAATACACAAAAAGACTTCCCAAGAAAAGATGCTTAAGAATCAGCTTTGATCATGGACTCCAGCAAACGATTAGTTATGCGTCAAACTTACACTTGAAACAGGATTTTCTTTGACTAACTTCCATGTGCATCTATGACAACTCGGTAACGGGAGCCCAATCAGCAGTTCAGGAGCCTGGGTGTTTGGGCACCTTGGCACAGAGCCATCTCAACACTAAAGCCAGTTCGATACTCAAGTATCAAAGTGACACGTAATCAATTCTAGAAGTTTTTCAGTGGATTCCGAATCTCCTGGGTGTTCGGATGGTAATGATAGACTTTGTTGACTGGTACATTACTCTCTTTCTAAAGCAAAAACGGATCTCATCTATACGGGCCGAGGATCCCGAAGTCGTTTCATGAGACCCACGACAGATCAACTATATAAGGACATCAACCCCCAGGACCCAGGTACACGCGATTTAGTGCATTCTAGCTCTCCTTGTTCTCAAACTCTTAGCTCGCATATACTATTACTAACTTAAGCATTGGAGTGACCTCGCCAAATTAACTACTCCGGGTTCTCTGATACCTCATTTTCTTTACAGTTCGCACGACCTACTTGGCGACATGTGTCTGAACTACCCAACAACTAGGAGCATCTAAATCGTACACTATCAGTGGGCATGCAGAAAGCATGGGCATAACAATAATAATTAACAAGTGATTAAGTGATCTACAATTATATAACATTGGTTCTAGACGCTGCAAAAAAAAGTATTTCTTATATACCAAGTTAGTCAATTAGTACATGACTCAGATCTCATGGGTGTAATCTACTCTCTCCCACGGTCAATCACCCACCAAGAAAATATAAATTATAAAACTATAATAATTTTAGTTGGCAAAAAAAGTGAAGAAATTGAGGCACGATTAACTGACCATTTTGAAACATTCTCTTAGGCTCCATGTTCTCTTATTTGCTTTAACAAAATGCTTATCTCCTTCATCTTATGGGTGATAATTTTGAATCCAACCTAGAAAAAGCATAGCCCTACAAATTTCTAAGTTAAGCTTGGGCCCAATACTTTAGGCCTAACAGATACATATTCATGTATATATTATTTAGGGGTATTTTGCGTTCAGTCTACCTTAGAATTCTTAATGTGATTATACAGTTTGGGTCAGTGTCAAGATGAGGGGTATCCGTGGATAAATACATTTAGGCTATGTTTAGTTTGAAGGAAAAGGTAGAGAAAAGAAGGGAAAGACCGGAAAATCTATACAAGATTTGCAAAGGTCTTCCTACCTTCTTTTTCATGCACTTTCCTTCAAACTAAACATAGCCTTAGGGAATTAATTCATGAATTCTAAGGTGGAGTGGATTGTAAAAAAGGCCTATTATTTATACATAAATATATATTATTTTTATTTTATATAAATATTTTAATATGAAACCTATGATACAAATTGTATATAATATTTTTGTATTTATATAATTAATAAAATATATTTTAAAGACATATTATATGGTATATAATATAAATAGCATATATATTAATACTTTATACATAAAAGTCATATGCCCAAAATCAAGATTGGCCCAGGTCATCCATGGAGCATTGGACCTAGGGCTATAGCTGTTATCACAAGTGCTAAGCCCAACCCAACCCATGATTAACCCTACTTCACCCTCTCTCCCCAACCATCCACGAACTCCTTGGTCCTTTGGTTCTCCCCCAACTTTAATGTGCAAGCATATATAAAACAATGGCCCAATTTTGATTTGTGAAGTGTTTCCGAATTATCCAAACTTTGTTAATGATGGACATGGGGGCCGGGGGAACAACAGAACAAGCTGTACAAATTAAACCATGCTACGAACTCTGTAAAAGAAGGGGGGCTTGTTACTTATATGTCTCCAACTCTCAACTCCCAAAATATTGTATTGTAGCTACTAGCTAGGGAGAGATACCCTCTTCCTCTTCTTCAATTTTCCATGATGATATGCCATCTCTCCTCTCCTCTGACTTTCAAGTCTCAACCGCAAATTTTGGAGAAGGGATGTTTAATCAAAACCAAAACATGGAAAACCCGAATAAATAGGGAACGAAGGGCATACAAATCTCCCTTGGTTCCTTCCCATTAATCGGCAAGCGAAACCCACACCTAGCCATTCAATTATTTCCCCATATCATATCTTTAGTTGTTCACCCACGGATCTTTAGCGCTCTGTGTCTCCTATTCTGTTTTATTCTTCTGGTTTGCTTTTGTCCTGTCATTGGTTAAGTGAAAAAAAAAAACAAAAACAACAACAACAAAACAAAATTAAAGTTCATTGACAATACACAATTACAAACATAAACAAAGCTGCTTACATCGATCGATCAGGCCGAGGCCATGGAAGTGGGGGTATTAGATGATCTAATAGAGAGGTTATTGGAAGGTAGGAAGAGCAAAGGCAAACGTATTCAGCTCTCCGACTCTGAGATCCGTCAACTCTGCACTGTGGCCAAGGGTGTCTTTCTCAGCCAACCCATTCTCTTGGAATTAGAAGCCCCCATGAACATTTGTGGTAAATACGCTTTGCGTAGCATATGTATATATATATATATATATATTCCTTCTCTTTTCTTCTTTATATATATCCTGCATGTTCCTGTGCCACTGCATTCTTTTCACAGACGTCTAAAATGCTTTCTAATTAAATACGCAAAGAAAATTCATTCATCAATATCCATATTAACGCCTTGAATTTGGCTGGCTTCCATGGTAATTCATCTTAATTTTCATGTTATTACAATCAGTTGCAAGTTAGCCTTCCAACAAAGCTAGTCCCTAATCCTGATAGGAGCGAGAATATAACATGCATGGACACCGATCTCTCTCTCTCTCTCTCTCTCTCTCTCTCTTATATATATTCTGGTTCTGGGTAATAAGATAAAAGAAGAAGGCTATATTGATATCTCCTTTAAACTTGATGAATGTTCTTTTGATTCTCTGTGCTGCAACAGAACAGGTATTCATTTATTTTTATTTTTCCATAACTAAGATTGCATGATTTCTCTTTGATGTATCAACAACACAACTACAAGCTCCCAATGTACCAAATTTTTGACAATTGGTGGATTGTTGATTTTCTAATTCTATCTGCTGAAGCTTCAGCAATCAAAATTCAAAACTAGTCCTGGCTCATAACAAGTAATGTAATGTAATTGGGTCATATATAGCAAGTTAAATCTGAATTTTGAAATGCTTTCTCCCCTCCTCTATAGGCGAGTCTAGCTAGCTTGCTGTATAAAATAAAAGAGGAAGTTGAAGTAAAGAATTAATGGTTCAGCTGGTTAGCAGGTGACATACATGGTCAGTTCTCCGACCTCCTACGACTATTTGAGTACGGTGGTTTTCCGCCAGAAGCCAACTACTTATTCCTGGGAGACTACGTAGACAGAGGAAAGCAAAGCATTGAAACCATATGCCTTCTCTTAGCTTATAAGATCAAGTTCCCAGATAACTTCTTCCTTCTCCGAGGAAACCATGAGTGTGCCTCCATCAACAGAATATATGGGTTCTACGATGAATGCAAGCGCAGGTTCAGCGTCCGACTCTGGAAGATATTCACCGATTGCTTCAACTGTTTGCCCGTGGCGGCAGTCGTTGATGACAAGATCTTATGCATGCATGGTGGGCTTTCTCCAGAAATGGAGAGCATGGATCAAGTAAGAGCGATAGAGAGGCCAACTGATGTGCCTGATCAAGGTCTCTTGTGTGATCTTCTTTGGGCTGATCCCGACAGAGACATCAAAGGATGGGGAGAGAACGACAGGGGAGTTTCATATACATTTGGATCAGACAAGGTGGCTGAGTTCTTGAAGAAGAATGATCTTGATCTCATATGTCGCGCTCACCAGGTACTTAAACCAAACACGCATCAATCGATATCTCAAGTTTTTCGTTTCGTTTTGCCTGAAATACGCGATTAACAAGCTGGGTTTTCTGATCAAAACCGATGATGAGCTGCAGGTCGTTGAAGATGGGTATGAATTCTTTGCCGACAGGCAGCTGGTTACCATATTCTCGGCTCCAAACTACTGTGGAGAATTCAACAACGCAGGTGCACTAATGAATGTGGATCCAAGTCTACTCTGCTCTTTTCAGATTCTCAAACCTGGAAGGGGAAAGGATGTTCAGCTGGAATAGAGATTGAGATTCCAACCAAGGGACGCAGTGAAAAGATGGAATTCAATAAGAGGAGGCAGACATGATACCAAGACATATGCACTATATCCATTTTTATTATGGTAGTTGCAGTTAGGAGTTAGAGACACAGACAGACAGACAGACAGACATGTCAACCACCAATGAAAGCCCTACACGTGTTCTTTGTTGCAGATCATCCATGTAGTAACATACAACATCAGCAAGCTCTGTATATAATCCCCCACAGTTAAATGAAGCTTAAATATCTAAACTTTGAAGAAATAGTGCCTCAATCGGTTGCTTTGTACCAGAACAAATAAGATGTGAATGGTCTGTGAAGCTAGTGTTTTAATTTCTCTTAGATGTTTTAAGTTCTATAAGCATCTGCTTCTAGCATTTTTTAGTTTACAAAGTTAAAATTAGCAGAAAATTTACATATTAACTCATACCAGGGGAGAATGGGTTATCATCAAAAACTGAAAAACCCAACTGAACCGATGAGACCATATGAAAATTTCCGATTAATTGAACCGATTACCAAAAGTATCGGTTCGGTTTCAGTTAACCAATATGAAAAAACCGGCAGTTAATCAAATTGACTGATATATATATACACTATTTATTGCAAAAAAAAAAAACATTGATTGGGTCAAGAACCAAATTAGTCCTTACCGGTAGAACCATGGGCTATGGTTGATACATTAATTTTTTTTTTGTATTTTAGCTATTTCTATTTTTACTAACAATAACTTTCATTTTTTTAAATATATTTTTGTTTAATATGAAGAATATATAATATTAATACATGTTTGAATTTTTTCATAAAATTCCAATATATTGTTTGATATTGGTTTTTAATATTGGGGTCAAATCAATTTATTAGATTGATTAGCCATAGCCACCCAATTCAAGATTGTAGGTTCATTTACCACCAAACCACTTAGTGGCTTAGCTAATTAAATTATGTAACCATTTGGCATGGTTAGTGGGGTAATGTGTTAGACATTAATGTTTTTATTTTTTTCTAATTTTTATCTCATTTCCATCATTAATGAAAATAATTCTCATTTATCACACTTTTTTTATATGATGAATATATAATATCATAGAATGTACACAAGTTTATCTACATTTTTCTATAATTTTGTGTATTTTATTATTTAATTATAACATCATGTGTTGATCCATTTGGCATGGACAATTGAACCACTAATCCACCACTTGGATGGAAAAAACCATTTTGCTTTTTCGTTGATTTTAAATATTGCATTCCATTTTCATTATTAATAAAAGTAATTCTTATTTTCAGATTTATTTTTGTTTAATATTATGAATATGTAACATTAGAACTATATCAAAATGCTTTATACAAAGCTTATATTTTTCTTTGAGTTTCCATATATATTTTTTTAATATTTATTTCTTAGTTATGACATCACAGATTGGCCCATTTGACCTAGAAGATTAGATCGTTAACCTACCATCTAGATATGAAATGGGTTTCATTTTCAGATTGGTTTTAAATTTTGCATTTAATTTGTATCACTAATAAAATAATTATTATTCATCATACTTATTTTGTATTATTCTATTATAAAAAAATTATTTTTAATTATACATCATGAGTTAACCCATTTCATTTGAAAGGTTGAACCACTAATCCGCCCCCTAGATAGGAAAATTGTTTCATTTCCCATCGGTTTTAAGTTTTATATTCCATGTCCATCATTAATAAAATAATGTATATTTTATCATACTTATTTTTTAATATGACAAATATCATACTTATTTTTTATATTTCTAAATTTTTATTATTTATTTATGACATCATGGAATTATCCATTTGACCCAAATGGTTGAACTACTTACCACCTAGATGGAAAAATATGATTTCATTAATTTCTAGGTTTATTTTAAAAATATAAAAGTTCATTATATTAATAACTATTATGTATTGATTTATTAGTGGAATTTAATGATGAGAAACAAAAGTATAAATGTTGGATTGAATGAGAGAGAGAGAGAGAGAGAGAGAGAGAGAATGTGATTTATTTAATGACTTAAATGTGAAACTTGATCAGAGGTAATAATTAAATGCACTTAATAGTATTATTTTAATTGCATTTTCTACTTAAATCTTGTATTCCATTTTCATCATTAATAAAAGTAATTATTACTTTCATATTTAATATCATGAATACATAACATTAGAATTGTATCAAAATGCTTTATACAAAGCTTATATTTTTCTTTGAGATTCTATATATATTTTTTAATATTTATTACTTAGTTATGACATCATAGATTGATACATTTTACCTGGAAGATTAGATCATTGACCTACCATCTAGATATGAAAATGGTTTCATCTTCATGCTGATTTTAAAATTTGCATTTAATTTATATCACTAATAAAATAATTATTATTCATCATACTTATTTTTTGTTTATATGATTAAGATATAATATTATAGATGTAGGGGTGAACATTCGGTTTATTCGGTTAAAAACCGAACCAAACCGAACAAATAGGAAATTTTTAAAACCAAATTAAAAATAAAAATCAAATTGAAACTGAATAATAGAAAAACCAACATTTTTTATTTGGCTTTTAGTTATTTCGATTAAAACCAAATTTTAATAATGTATATAGAAAAGTCAAAATTTTCAATTGGGTTCTAACCAAATTATGCTCACCCCTATAATAGATGTGCCCAAAATTGTTTTGTATTTTTTGTATTATTCTATTTTAAAATTTTTATTTTTAATTATACATCATGAGTTATCCCATTTGACCTGTTGAACCACTAACCCACCCCCTAGATGGGAAAATTGTTTCATTTTCCATCGGTTTTAAGTTGTATATTTAGTGTCAATCATTAATAAAATTATGTTTATCCTATCATACTTTTTTTTAATATGACAAATATATAATAATAAAATTGTGTCCAATTTTCTATATTTTTTATTTTTTGCATTTCTAAATTTTTATTATTTACTTATGACATCATGGAATTATCCATTTGACCAAATGGTTGAACTACTTACCCACCACTTAGATGGAAAAATATGATTTCATTTCTAGCTTTATTTTAAAAATATCAAACTTCATTGTATTAATAATTATTGAGTATAGATTTATTAGTAGAATTTAATAGTGAGAAACAAAAGTATTAATATTGGATTCAATGAGAAGGATGTTGATGTAGCGCGATCTGACTACTCCCTACTGGAGGATGATCTGGCTTCCAATCGAGCAGCGAACTAGGTGAATCTGCAAGACAGCGGATCAGAGAACTCGGGGTGGCTAACCCGGCGAGGTCACTCCGATGCTTAAGTTAGTATACTGTGGTGCGAGCTGAAAACTTTGAGAGATAGAGAGTTAGAGAGTAGAAAAATCACGCATACCTTATGTCATTAGGGTTGGTGCCTTTATAAGTCGAGCTCTCGCGGGTTTTGCAGATCGGTTCCGGGATCTTCGTCCTGAGAGGATCCATTTCCGCTTTAATTGGGGAGTAACGTATCAATTAATAAAGATTATCAATTTCACCCGATCCGGGCGGGGAGAAGACTAGGCCCGCCGTTACATGGCATGATCCCGTGAGGTTTAGGATCTATTGGAGGAACTTCCGGAGTCGGTACGTGGCGGTTCGGGTCGGTAGCCCCGAGCTGATACTTCGGTTCTTTTAGCTCCGAGCTGGATTGAACGCCGAAGTGCCTCGATACCGAGGTGACCCTGTCCGAGGTGACTCTGTGCCGAGGTGACCGAACACACGAGCTCAAACATTGTGAACTAGTCTTGCTAGGCTGAGCTGTCATCCCTTAGTCAGGTCGTGTCCACGTGTCCCCTTCTTGCTAGGTCGCACCAAATCACCATTCCTCAGATGTGATTTATTTAATGACTTAAATGTGAAACTTAATGAAAGGTAATTGAATGCATTTAATAGTATTATTTTAATTACATTTTCTACCCTTACAATGAAGGTGAACTAAATTCAAGAGAAGGGGTATTTTAGTAAAGAAAATCTCTAGAAACCAATACCTTATTCACACTTTTATAGGTAATATAGTTTATAATATATTTATGTATATTACATATTTTTCATATATATTTTATATTATCTATACATTATAATATATATTTATAATATAATATATTATTTATTATTTATAATATAATTTTTTATATGTATTTCTACTATTTATATTATATATTTAATATTTATTTATGATATATATTTTAAATATCAAAAAACCAATAAACCAAACTGACCAACAAGTTAACCGATTGGCTTCAATTTGGTTTTGATTACTGGTTTTCCAAAAACCAATAATACCGGTTCGGTTTGGAAAGCACCCCTAACTCATTCAATACGCAAATTTAACCCAAAAAATAAGAGCTTAGTACAAAATGTAAAATGGGCCAACAAGAAAAAGACATATTTACATCAAGGTGAATCTCATCACCAAAATATAAGCAAGCACCATGGATTTTGGCTTTGCCGTTGTTTGGGTGTATTTGGATGACATTTTCATTATTCTGGCAAGTTAAATGCTTAAGAAAAATCTGTCTCTCTAAAATTGTTCTTTACGTATTCATTGAATATATCCTCAAGATCACTTTGGATGTCATGTTGATTGATGGAGTTAGATTATTAATAGTTTTTAATTATTAATATATTATTATTTTATTACATTAATTATAGTGTATTAATATTTTACTTATATGTATTATTATTATATTTAATAATTAATATCCTTGTTTGTTATTATTAATATATTAATATTTTATTATTATTTTAATAATATATTATTAATTTATTAATATTAGGATTTTGGAATTTGTCATGAGTTCTTTACTTCTTGATAGACTCTTGAATGGAAATTCTGTTCTCAAGGGGGAGACTAAAATGGGCATTCCCCCCCCCTTATATGAGAGAATCACATTAATGAGAACAAGAATCCCATTCCAACCAAACAGTTAGAAACGGAATGGATCATTCAAATTCCAATTCCAGGCTAGGGGTGGCAATTTTCCCCATCCCCGACGGGGACCCGACTTCCCCGACCAGATGGAGTCAAGGGTGGGGATTGAGGTCTCTGCCCCACCCTAACCTCAATTATATATATTATTTATATATATCAAAACATGTTTAAAACATTATTTATAATGTAAAATTTTAATAGAGAACCCATTTGTATGGGGATCGGAGACGGGGGTGGGGGTTAATTTCAGAATTGGGCATAGGAACGGGGAATATGACCCCCACCCCATTATCATTCCTTTTCCAGGCACCTATTATACAAAACCAAACAGACCCTTCTTCGACTTAAATTGGGTCTAGACATGGAGTGAATTTGCAATTAGAAATTGAAGGTACCAATCACATTAGTCCACTGCCATCTGTTATCCGTAAATGCACATCCCCTCCATTGATGATCGAATAAGTTAAGTTTGGGAACATTGTTTTAAAAACTAATCCGGAGCCAAAATCACTTTAGCCACCAGTTTCTGGATTGACAAATCAATCACAGTTTGAATAGATGGCTCATTCTAATTTTAAAAAGATAAAAATAATAAAAATTAATTAAAATAAAAAAAAACAGCTAAAAACCATTATTCAGATCAGCAGTGATGCCCAATATTGCAATTTGTTTGGAGTAGCCTCGAAAACAACAGTACATGCCCAATATTGCAATTTCAACAAATAAAATCAGTGTCAATAGCACTTCATTTACAACTTATTTCCCCAAATAAAATATACACAAGAACAAGCACTCAAGAGAAAAAAAAAATTAGAAAAGAAGAAAAGAGATTGCGGTGAGCGTGGATCGAACACGCGACCTTCAGATCTTCAGTCTGACGCTCTCCCAACTGAGCTATCCCCGCTTATTATCATATGGGATGCACCAGCCGGGAATCGAACACGGGTCTGTACCGTGGCAGGGTACTATTCTACCACTAGACCACTGGTGCTTGTTGTTATTATCTTTTTCTCGATTCTAACAAATTAATAGTAGATAAGTCTTAAGGACAGACAATTCCACCGGCTAGAGTAATGTAACAAATCCGAAAGTCTGAAAATCTGACCTCTAACAAAAGCAGGGATAGAACTGCCTACAAAAGCGAAAGTCTGACCTCTCAATCACCACTTGACCATGGCAACTAATGGACTTCCACTAACAATGGAATCAATCAAACAATTAGCATGATTAATTCTAATGCTTTCAAATAGCTTTCTTGCGTTAGGACAATCATCTTAGTACTTCATGTGTTCGAAGTCAAAGCCATTCCAATAGATTTTTTAGCTGCTAATAGTTTGTCACAACGTTAAACGGAATCATTCTGGTCATCGGTTTCTAGGTCAAGAGTCCGATCATCCGTTTTGAATAGACGGACCATTCTGACAAATAAATTAAAAAAATAAAAAAGAATTAAAAATAGAAAACGGTCAAAACTGTTGAACAAGTTAACGGTTCAACTACCTAGATCAACGGGTTATTGACTTTTTCAATGTTTTTGACCAAAAACCGGGTTTGAGATAAAATAAAACCGATTACTTGAATGATTCCCAAGCCAAACGGTCAAACCATTAATATCAATGGAGTTTCGAAAACCTTGGTTTGTCGGTTCCTAAGCCCTAAATTCTGCCAAAGTGGTCTCTTGCTATCCATGCAATTGTGGTCGTCCCGTCCCGATGGATTGATGCATCAAAGTTTATATATATATTTTTTAATTTTCTTTCATTTGAAGGGCTCCATTTAACATGACAAAATTTTCTTTTGATCTACATGCAACATGTTGAAAAATGTTAGATTATTTCTTTTCTTTGTTTTCATATGGATCATTACAGCTTAATTAATTTCTCACAATTAATTGTGTTTCGATCTGATGCTTTCAAAGAAGCAAAACACGACCCATTTTTTTTCTTTGGAAGTAGGGGTGTCAATGGACCAGTTTTGGGTTGGACGGAGTTCAACTCAAAATCCATTTGGACGGATTAAATGGACCAATAAGATATGTTGAATTTGGACGAATTGGATAGACCAATATGACATATTGGATTGAATTGAACCAATATCTGATTCATTGATAAAGAATAAGAACATAAACGTTAATGGACCAGGTTTGAGTTGAAATCAATTTAAATTAATAGAAATTTGAACAGATTGAACAGTTTCTGAACTGATCGAAAATGATCCAAAATATTCTTTGGACCAGGTAGACCGAACCAACAAATATATATATATATATATATACTTCATTCTCACCTCAGCATGAATAACATTTCTTTTTAGTTGAATGAATGAATGCTAGCTGTAGGCGTAGGCGAGTTTGAAATGGTTTGTCTCGGCCTGAGCGATGCTTACACATCCACGTACCAAAATGTTATCCCTGCTCTTTTTATCGTTGAAAATGATTGCTTTCAATTAAGCTAGCTAGCTTGGAAAAATCATTTCACTACTGAAAGAAAAATTATAGAGCAATTCTTAGAATTTTCGTGCAGAAACAAACAAATATTGATTTTGTTCGTACAGATCTAGAGGCATCTCCCCGTCCCCATTCATCTTCTTAATTTGACTATTTTTGTCTCCTTAGATTACACACAACAAATTAATAAAAGAAATTGTTAAATCTCCGTACGTACATAAAATCACACCAAGTTCTTTAATTATATATGGTCCAAATTGGAGGTTTAATTAATTATCAAGTAGCCTGCAGCCAGCCGTCGAACAATTTAAAATCACAGACTCCTTCCTAGTCACAATTTCAACTGCATCCCACTACTGCATATAGGCTGGCTTTGATTTAATTTGGTTGCTCTTGGTCAAATTTTGCTTGGGCTAGCTAGATTATTGGCCTATTTGGAGGTGGAACTGAATCAATTTGAGCCCCCACAAACATCACCTGAACAAACTGCTTGTGGTAGTACGTAATCTTGTTGCATGCATCTTGGGATGGACCTCTTCTGGTGAGTGAGCCTTAGGGGTAGAGGTCACTTGAAGAAGTCATGGAGCCATTATTGGTAAGGGAGAAAGAATCGTCCAATAGACCTCGGAAGCTGAGGCTGAGCTCCCCAACTGCTTGCTGAAGCTTCTCCATGTCTAAACATTTAAACTCGACCTCGCTTGTTCCCTCAAACATGTTCATCACTTGTCTCATCGTCGGCCGAGCATGCGGATCAGGGTTTGTACACAGCAAGCCCAAGTTAAGCACCTTCTCTACCTCCTCAGCCTCAAAACCGCCCTCATCAGCAGCCCTGATCAAACGCTCGTCCAGAGCTAACAACAACTCCCCACGCTCCATTAGGCTCCATGCCCAATCAACCAGAGCCGCCTTCCCATCCTCTATGGGTCTCCGCCCGCACAGAACTTCAAGAATCAATACCCCAAAACTGAACACATCGGTTTGTGCTGACACCCGGCCGCTCAGCACCACTTCAGGCGCCATATATCCCACAGTTCCAACTACCTGTGTCGTGATGGTAGCCACCTGGCCACGGCCATGGATGCGAGACAGCCCAAAATCTCCTAACCTCGCATTCATATCGCTGTCAAGCAACACATTACTAGCCTTTATGTCCCTGTGCAGGACTCTGGCTTCCCAACCCTCATGCAAGTATAACACCCCAGAAGCCACATCCTTCAGAACTCTCATCCTGTCCTCCAACCCCAACATTACACTCTCCTCACATTCAAACACCCTCTTATCCAAGCTTCCATTCTCCATATAATCATAAACCAAAGCTAAGTTCCTCTTCTCCCTTTTGCACCAACCTCTTAATCCTACCAGGTTCCTGTGCTTCAGTCGCCCGAGGCTCGACACCTCGGCCACGAATTCTTTCATTCCTTCATCCGTTTCGTGTGAAATGAGCTTTACAGCAACTTCTACTCCTCCTGCCAAAACCCCTTTATAGACCTTCCCATTTCCTCCAAACCCAATTACATTTTCTTCAGAGAATCCTCTGGTTGCTGCGCTGATCTCTTGATAATCAATTCGGTGAGGCCAATACTCCAACTCCCATTCTTCTACCTCCTCTCCCTCCCCCACCTTCTTCTTCTTCCTCCTCTTAACTAGAAATAGGAAAACCATAGCACAACAGGCACCGATAAACAAGACTACAGCCACCGTAATTCCTGCAATAAATCCTTTGGATGGAAAAGCGGAGACCTCAGAAGGAACAAAGGACGGCAAGTTGAAAGTAGCCAACGTATCTCCAAAGGAAATATTTGAATTACTAAAACTCCATGCCAGAATTCTATGATATTGCACTAATTGTCCCGTAGCCGCAGTGAACCCAACATACATTTCATCCAGAAAAACCTCGGAGAGATTGACGGGAAAGCTAATCAAAGGTCGTTGAGGCTTTCTCGATCCAGCAGGCACCATGGTGACATTGAGCAGAGAACTCGAGTAATCAACCCAGACTTGATAATTGACGCCACTGTTGAGCTTCAATTCATGAAAGGTGTCATCTTGATTATTGTTCATCGCCGTCTTATCACCCCAATAACCGGCAGGTTCGGCAGTCACCGACGCGAGAGAATTCACGTCAACGCCAACGTGGTTGTCATTGATATCGTTGAATTCTTGATTGCTGAACACATCGAATTCTATACCGAGGACATGGTTGCTGGGGTTGTTGTCATTGGTGCGGTTAAAGAGACCGAGATGCTGAGCCGAGTTTGTTCCGTTGATGTCAGTGGTGGGAGCAAAGATGAAGACGAGTCCGTGGCCGGAGAGCTGGTTGTCATCTGGAGCGATGGAGAGGATGAAGGAGGTGTAGAAGGGGAGGAGTGCAGAGGAGTTGGGAGATCTCGTGGGGATACGCGTACTGTAAAGGGCACGGCCAATGGAGAAAGCCGAGGTATCTGTGAGAACGAGAATCCGAGATTCAAGTGATGCATTACCAAATAGTAGGATATCAGAGGAATCGAAGCCGTTGAAGACAAAATCAACAGCTGAAGTTGATCGGAGAAGAAGGATTCTGGTCAGTAGCAGAGATAGAGATAGATGGAGAAGATGATTTGCCATTTCCTAGCAGTTTCGAGTTTTGAAGGGAATTATGATCGAACATGGAATTGGTGCTTATATAGAGTTCAGGCTGTTGGGAATGAAAGCCGGGTATAAAGACAAGGTTGGACGTTCAAATCTATAGAGCCCAGGTGGATTCCCTTTAATATAATCAAATTAATTATGAATGGATGGCCCAAAAGTTATGCGGTTCGATGTGGGGTTGACACCAGTTTGTTTGGTGGGCTGACGGCTTTCGACTTTCGAGAAGAAACAGCGGTGCCTGGAGGATTTCTTCAATCTTCTTACGTTGGAAATGGAATGAAGTTTTTACAGGTTCATAGCTGCGTGTATCAATAGCTCGTTTGGGATTGGGAGGGTACGTCACTCGTAAGTCATAACTTATTTACTTTTCCTTTGAAACCAAGCAATTCTTACATGATCCTAAAATTAAACCATATGCACCAAAATGTCATAAGAAAATTGATCAGAAAATTTTCAAATAACTCACAACTTACAAAATTACAAAATATACTTTCTTCTTCATCTAGTGATACACTGGATGATGTGTAATATCCTCATTTACCTTGCAGTCTATCTTCTCCATCTAAACAATTTTTTAGACATGCATCTCCAATATTTCATCTATCATCTGGTTTCTTTTCTCATTCAACACTCTATTTTTTGCACTAAAACAACAGGCTAAAATATCAAAGTTATGTATTTCCTTATATGTAAAGAAACTTATACATATATATATATATATATATATATATATATATTGTAAATAAAATCAATTTCATTCAAAGACAAACTTGAAGAAGAATAAGATGAAGAAATTAACAATGTCTCTGTTTATTAAAGATTACGTCTTAGCTCTTCCTGATATGGAATTACCACTACTATTAGGTTCAATACGTGGCATTGGACTAGCTTTTCTAATTTTACATTCATATATTGTTTACATATCAATTAATATTTTTAATTTCTTTATTTTGTTTACCTATGTTAATATTTGTTTACATATTTTCATTGTATGAATTAAGTATTATTTCTACACCTCCTAGTTTGATCCTAACATCTAATATTGTAGCTAATTAAGCAATAATAAGGAGAAATATATTCCTAATATTTTTTAAATTTAATTTCCATTTGTTCAAAAATATTTTCAAAATATTCTTCACTTCTAGGGTTTGCAAAACACTCCCTAATTAAATACAAGTTATTAATTAAAATAAAGGAAAATGGATAATAAATACCAAAATATTTTCTATACAATCATCAAATATATGTAAAATTCTTTTATGCAAATTCCCATGTCCCAATCAAAATCAATTATTACATTATTTGGTATCCTTTCTATATAAAAAAATTTTTAATACATCTTTATATGATATACTACTTTCTAACATAGCATAGGTGGAATTCCACCTATGTTGGACACCTAACAGAAAATTTTTATAACATTTTCGATATTGATAACATAAATTTTTAAAATCTTTTTTTTCTTACTTGAAGATTTAATATATAAAATACAACTTCTAATTTTTTGAACATGTTGTGAAATAGGTCTTATTTGAGATTTTTTAAAATACTTATAGCTACACCATTATTACTAGTATTACCAAAAGTAATTGAAATATCTTCTATACCATAATTATATATAGTATTTAAAATACTAGCTACAGTAGCTAGGTCTGTATATAGCCATTGTAATCTTGTAAAACATAAACTTCTTTTATGTAAAACCAATGTGTCATCAATAGAATGATCACTTGCACAAATATAACTAATATTATACTAAGAAAACTAAACATCTAAACTAAGAGCAATTTTAGAATGAAAAACTGTCAAAGTAGAAATCAAATTTTGTTTATATATATATATATATATACAAAAATTTTGATAGCATCTAATGTAGTTATGTTCCTTGAAACTTTTCTATATGCAGGGTTAATTGATGTTTGTACAAATTTTTCAAATCTAGGATCTTTTATAAATATAAATGGTTGTTCAGCATGAACTATATATCTAGTTAATGTTTGTCTCATTTTATCTTGGGAATAATGAAAATTAGAAAATGATTCAGGCCCAAAACCAATTTAGGTTTGGGTTGAATCATGTTGATCTTGTTAAATATGTTTTTCCATATGTCACTGTTACTACTACTTTGATAACTAAAATCAGCTTTACATTTAATGCAAACTGCTTTCAATCCTTTTCCTGGTAATTCTTTAAGTGTAAAATATTCCTAGCAATTGCTGTTGTTTTTTTCTTTAATGCCTTATAAAAATCCAACTAACCTGGTAATAGCATGCCTCGGGTTTGTTGATTCGGTATTTCAACTTGAATGCAAGCCTTTAAACCTCCTAAAGTGAACACTTGAGCAAGTTACAAGCCCCCCTCTTGTTAAAATTAAAAAATATACAAAAAAAAAATCGAATATGAGAGTACAAAAGAGGTTGATTATTGTTGTAATGAAAATAGGTAAGGGTTAAGGTATTTATAAGGGTTGAAAATAATTGAATTAATCAAAATGCCCCCTAAACTAAACTAGTTGTTTATAGATGTTGGTAGAGGAGTATTTTGTTCATTTGTAAAATTTATTTACCACTTTACTTAAGATGCTCCCTTAGTTGTTTATAGTTGTTGGGGGCATTTAAGTCATTTTGTGTACCCTCATTCAGAAAAAATACATAAATCCCCCCAATGTAGCTATTTATAGCTATTAGGGGTTTTTTTGGTATTTTCAACATTTAAACCCCCTCAAATGGCTATATAACAACTATAAATGAACTGTTGACCCAATAGGAGGGTTGACTGGTTACTAGGGAAAAGAAAAAAGAATTGATTTGTTGTTGGTGGTGGTGAGAGAGAGAGAGAGAGGAGGAAGAAGGCCACAATCTCACTCTCTTGTCTCCTCTAATAATATACATATATAATCACCCCATCTAACCCTAATACTCTAATCTAAAGGCCATGATATAATATACATATTATACTTAATTAGTGCAATGGATGGAACCTTTCAACCCAAATGGTTGAACCGCTCACCCAAAAATCAATGATTAAAGGAGTTTCATTTAAATTTCCAGGTCAGTTTATAAAACCTTGCTATAAATACAAAAATAGAGAAGAAAAGAAAGACACATATGGGGGTAAATAAACAACATTCCATCCTTTGTACAATGTTGTGTTTTTACTAAATAGTCATGAATTCAAGTCTTGTACAAGTTATTTTAAATTCATTTGGTATTTCAGTTCATAATATGCAATTTCGAAGTTTCATTTATTAATAATACTATAATATTTTCTTCACTTCTAGTTTAATTTATTAATGTTGTTAAATCTTGGATATTCAAATTCAAATATGAACAAATTGAATCTGAATCATCATCATCATCTAGGCCTTGTCCCAGGTATATGGAGTTGGCTATGGTAGGGGTGAGCAAGAAAAACCAAAAAACCAAACCAAAAATCTGGTTAACCAAACCAGTCAGTTCAGTATTTTTAAAAAATCGAAGGTACTAGTTCAATTTCGGTTAACCAATATGGAAAACCAGCAGTTAGCCAAACTAACTTGTAAACATATATTTCTATATATTTATGTGTATTTATGTATTTTATATTTCCTATATATTATAAATTAATAAATATGCATTATATATTAATATATATTTATAATATATAATATACTATTTATTATTTAAAATATTATATTATATATATTTCTAGTTTTTATTATATATTTATATATTTTTTATAATATATATTATAAATATAAAAAACTGAAAACCCAATAAACCGAACCAATGATTAACTGAAATAGTCAACTGGTTAACCGATCAACTTCAGTTTAATTTTGATTACCGGTTTTCCAGAAACTGATAATACATGTTCTGTTTCGAAATAAGCCCACGGTTCAGTTAACCAGACCATGAGCACCCCTAGGCTACAGGCATAAGTTGGGTACCCAATTTGAAAATTTTACACTTTATGGGACCCTCATTCAAATTTTAACAAAATTCTAACCCAAGCCTGCCTAAGTTGCACCCTAGGGTTGGCTATCGAGTCCTGTTTCAATATCTCTTTCGCTTTAATGCCATATTCACATTATTATCGGTACTTAAAATTATTATTTTCACCCAAGTACGTTTAGGCCTGCCCCTACCTTTTCTGGTCTCTATTCAACTTATAACAGATCACTTTTCCTATCTTCGGGTCATCACCATATGACAGGTTCAACCATGTCCGTCTGAGTCTGGCACCATTGTTTTGAACCGATCGATTAGCTATTATTAACAAAGCAGAAACTTTCAAAGTATTGCCATAGTGATATCTTTGCTAGTGCACAAAAAGAAGCTAAAGAACTCTTTGTTTTCGGATAAAATCATTTGTTTTAGAACTATTTGATGGATGATAGGAAATTTTCACGTATTTTTTAATGCCTTTTGATGATCTGGTCATGACTCCATATGACGACAACAACAAGGACAATTTGGTGCTACTCCCATGCAAGTACATTCTTTCATTCAGAGCATGAATCGCGACAGATTTAATTCCTTTTCTTTGACTTTGATTTTCTCTTTTTTTAATGGGTTTGAATCGATGCTCAAGTTTGACAAATTACATTCCTTTCTTCTTTCTTAATCACTGCTTCAAATTGGAGAAATTAAAAGAGACTAAATGGAAGCCGCCTCAATGGAAACTAATTGACTCTTACCCATTCACCCAGCAAGCATGAACACCTAAATGGGGCTCAGAAGAAAACTGTAGCTTTGGTTGTACGTACTACGTAGTTCCCTCTGGCACACGCTCATCGACCCTCCAGAATGGATCCTGAGATAGTTGTGACAGAGATTGACGATGAGAGCGACTGTCGAAAAGGGTAGTGCATTCTTTGATCCAAGCTACGAAACTCTGGCAATTCTGGGGTTGAATTCATGTTGCCAAGCAGATGTATCTCCATTCCTTGTCCTTGATCAGACTCCTCCGCCTCATCTCTTCCCTCCAACACCTTCACAACCTGTCTCATCTTCGGCCGAGCATGTGGGTCAGGGCTTGCACACAACAACCCCAAACGAAGCACCCTCTCTATCTCCTCAACGTCGTGCCTTTCCTTAGCCATCAACCGCTTGTCTAGTGCCAACGGCAACTCACCTCGCTCCACTAGTCCCTCCACCCAATCAACCAAAGGTGGTTTCCCCTCCTGTATAGGCCTCCGTCCACACACAACTTCAAGAATCAAGACACCGAAGCAGAACACATCAGTCTGCGTGGATGCCCGCCCACTCCGCACCAACTCGGGCGCCATATAGCCCACAGTTCCAACCACGCGTGTTGTGGCGGCTACCTGGTTGCGCCCATGAATGTAAGCCAGCCCAAAATCTCCCAACCTCCCGTTCATTTCTCTGTCCAGCAACACATTACTAGCCTTGATGTCTCTGTGCAGGACTCTGGCTTCCCAGCCTTCATGCAAATACAAGACCCCAGCAGCCACATCCTTCAACACTCTCAGCCTTTCTTCCCAACCCAACATCAAACTCTCATCACATTCGTCAAACACCCTCTTATCCAAGCTACCATTCTCCATATAATCATAAAGCAAGATCAAGCTTTCATTCTCTCTTTTGCACCAGCCTCTTAACCTTACCAAGTTTCTATGCCTCAAGCGGCCGAGGCTCGACAGCTCCGCCAAGAATTCCTTCATTCCTTCACCAGTCTGGTTCAAAATTCGCTTCACAGCTACCTCCTCTCCGCCTGTCAAAACCCCTTTATAGACTTTTCCGTTCCCTGAAAACCCAATTACATTTTCTTCAGAGAACCCCTTGGTTGCTGCATGAATCTCCTGATAATCAACTCGATGGGGCCAATACTCCAACTCCCATTCTTCCACCTCCCTTCTTTGCTTCATCTTCCTCCTCCTCCTTTTAATTATTAACAGAGATGTCACGGCGCAACAGGCGCTGGCCAACACAATTGTGACTATTATTATTCCAGCAATGAATTTGTTGGACTGAAGAATAGAATCCGTAGAATGAACAAAGGACGGTAAGTTTGAAGTAACCAACGAATCTCCAATGGAAAACTTTGAATTACTAAAGCTCCAAGAAAGAATTCTATGATACTCAACTAACTGTCCTGTCGCCGCAGTGAAACCAACATACATTTCATCCAGAAGAACATCAGAGAGATTGAGAGGAATACTAATTAAAGGTCGCTGAGGCCTTCTCAGTCCAGCCCGCACCATGGTAACATTTAGCAGAGAATTCGAGTAATCAATCCAGACTTGATAATTGACGCCACTCTTTAGCTTCAATTCATGAAAGGTCTCCTCTTGACTGCTCTTCTTGTCACCCCAGTAACCTGCCGTTGCGGCTGTTACCGACGTGAGGGAATTCACGTCAATACCAACGTGGTTGTCATCGACGTCACTGAACTCTTGATTTCTGAACACGTCGAATTCAACACCGAGCACGTGGTTGTTGGGGTCGCCGTTGTCCGTCTGGTTAAAGAGGCCAAGATTTTGAGACGAACTGGTGCCATCGATGCCGATGTGGGGAGCAAAGATGAACACAAAGCCGTGGCCGGAGAGTTGGTCCTTGTTGGGTTCAATCGAGAAGATGAAAGAGGTATAGAAGGGAAGGACTATAGAAGAGTTGGGAATTCTTGTGGGGATCTTCGAGGTGTAAAGGGCCCGGCCAGTGTGGAAATGAGAGACATTGGTGAGGGTGAGAACACCGGATACGAGCGTTGCGTTGCCGTAGAGTAAGAGATTGGAGGAGTTGAAGCCGTTGAAGACGAAATCAACAGCGTATGTCGTCGATCGGAAGAGCAAACCATTCGCTAGCAGTAGAAGTAGAAGATGGAGAAGATTATAGTTTGCCATCTTTCATCACCTACCGTTAACATTGTCCTGGGCATCTAATGAAGAGCAATCTGAGCTTGGAGTTGAAGAGTTAAGGCTTTGATCTTGAGTCCTGCGTGCTTTATTTCAAGTTTCAACTAATTAATTAATGTACTGAGTACTGACTACTACCTTGTGACGACAATGCTACAAGGCCATGCTATCTACCAAAGAAAAATCTTGTGATGACAATGCATGAAAGGAACTTCTGTTCTATTTTCAAAGTAGGAAATTTGAATAGAAGAGTTTGACAATTTGTCTTCTTCTTTGGTTTCTTTGAGGGGTATGATAATTTAACGCAGAAGATTGATAAATTGCTTTTTTATGCAATGGGGGAAAAAGATTGATAAATTGTTGTTACTATTAGTGGTATGATTACAAATTAATAATGCAAATATAAAATAGTATATACAATATTAAAAATTATTAATAAACTTATTGAAAATACAGCTGAATTCTGAAATTTCCAAAATATACCATTGTGGACCAAGGATAAAATGACCGGAATTTTTGGGATTTCTGACCATGGCATGCACTAAGCTCAAGTGAATCAAAAAGCTGAAACTGTTTGAGAGGGCTGAACTGAAGATTCGGTTCAACCGCTTTGAAGCTCTCCAGATAAGCTATGGCACATTTTGGAGAGCTAAGTTAAACTAGTTCAGAAGTGCTCCAGATAAACCACTCAAAAAGGCTTTTGAAGCAGACAGCCCTTCAAATGAATTGGGCTTATGGGATTTTTCACCAAACATATCTTATAGGCTGTCCATGTAGATGTTACTTCCGAAACCCAGAAGCCATTGCACTTCAGCCCTTACAAACCGCTGTCAGTCAATCAGTTAATTGAAGGGATGTCTGCTTTAGCTGAATCCTCAGCTCAACCCTCCAAAACGGGCCTTTATTCAAAAAGACAAAAAGTCTGAAGTGAACAACCCTTCAAATGACTGAGAGCTGATTTCAGATTTTTTCGCCAAACATAGCTTATAAGCTTAGTGAGGCTCACCTCAGAAAGCCAGCTGCCCTTCAGTCCCCCAAAACAAGCACTTAGATGAACCAAAGCAGGTAGCTTAAAAGCTCCATCATCGTTGGTAGCTGAAGTAATTCTTTGAATTGCATCCAAACTTTTTAAATCGAAGGTGATTATGAAGGCATTGCATTCGCGGTCAAGAGATTTGATTGTGACCTCGATGTCCAATTTATTCTGCAAGATATTTTAAAACTGATTGTACACGTTTTTTTTTTTTTCTTTTTTTGCTCATTTGTCAAGACGAGCAAATCGAGCAGCTAACTCAAAATGGTCCCTCCTTGGCTAGCAAACGTGCTGGATTCCGACTTTAATACGACTATTTGGCTAAGTTTTTCTGTGTAGTTTTTTTGTTGATTCTTGCTTGTTATATTAATCCTGTATGCTTTTTAATTTCTTTTGGTGATTTATGGAAATCTTGTATTACCAATGAAAAGTAACGTATGGGAGGCGCTTGTGGAATTATCATTTCCATGATGTTTTTTCGTCCCCCTCGTGTGAAAGTGGAACTACTGGGTCAACACCTATCCTAGTCAGCGATTCATGCAACACCTATCTAAATTCTGAACTGGTTGCGTATTATCTGCAACGGCTCTAGCGTAAGATGTCGCCTACCAAAATTCTTTTAATATGAAACCCGTTAACCAACTAAAATTAGTTCACTACCGCTCTGATTTAGGGGGTGTTAATTGAACTGGATTTGGTCCAATCCAATTCGGTCCAGTATGAATCAATTATAGATGGACAATCAAATTCAATGAATACTTTGAACTATTTTGAATCAATTCAATTCAATGTCTGGACCATCCAATCTGTTCAAATTGGTTTTAATTTAAATTGGTTCCAACTCAAACCTAATCCATCGACACTTCTATTCTTATCTTCTATCAATAGACCAAATATTGGTTCAATCCGACCTGATTAATATAAATCCATTACGGATAGACCAGGTCCAATCCAATTCAATAAATACTTTGACCATTAAGTCTGGAGTCTGGACTGGTCCAATTCGGTGTCTTATAGTTATTGGCCCATCCAATCCGTCTAAATTGATTTCAATTTGGCCAGGGTCCAACCCAAAACCGGTCCATTGACACCCTTACTCTGGTTGATCATTGAGAAATTTACCCAGTCTTGCTATAGGAACCAGTAAAAAAGGAACACTCCACTGTTGTTAACTGAGCTGAGCGTGTGGCTAACTGAGAAAGAAATGCTTTAAACAGGGCTGCAGATCAGGATGGGTACAGAAGTGATTACGTTGACGGGATATGAACTTGGCACCAAAGGCCAGTATTGATTCATCATTTCCACTCCAGGCTTGGCTTCCTTACAACACCCCCCTATACATAAATCCCCCCACACGGCTACACCTGATTATATTACCCGACCAAGGGAGCTGACCACCACTCTTACTTTTCTATGTGATCTCTCTCCCTCTCTCCCTCGACAGGAAAAATCTTCTATTTGGTACATTATCATCTTATACAGCTCCACGGCCAGAGGCAAATATTGGGTTACCCTCGGCCCGAAGTTTCCTATATTTTGCCTTGTCGAGCCGTGCTCGTCGAACGGCTTCTTGTATCTGGCGATCATGATCCTTGAGCATCTGGTCTACATTGCCTGAAGGAACTAGTAGTGGGCCAGAATAGTGAATCTTGTTGCCCTTAGATCCATAACCCTGATGAAGAAAAAGAAAATTGATCAGTACCTGATGATTATAAACTCTACCACAAATACACAAGACACAAGACTTCAAAGCAAAGCAAAGGTTGATCAGATCATGGAAACAAGGAAAAAAGAGTTTGCTAATATAAAGCAAATTATGAATTTCAAGTCATCTACCATTATATAACTTTGATTCAAGATGCTGCAAAAGTATTTCTTTGCTTTATGATATTCATACCAAGTCGGACAGGGATTACAGAACCCAGATCTGACAGATCTAATTCACTTCCTCTCCCACCATCAAGCACCCCAAACTACACACGAGTCCAAACACCGTCAAGCACCCACCACTACATGAGTCCAAAAATAAGAATGACTAATCCATGTATTATCCTAGGCACGAGCCTGGCCAAGCCCCTACTCAAACCTGTAATATAGCCTCTGAAATGGGTAAAGGGTTTAGACAGCCAACCGTACAGTTGGAATACATGGACCTTCTGATTCTTCACAACACTGTTGAAGACACAGTGAGAACAAAAAGTTACAAGAAGTATTGTCCAGTTAATCTCTTAGATTGAACAGTACTCTGAAAATGGTCTGTTGTATGAAGGGTCCCTATTGGTTTAAAATTCCAACATCCCCAGGGCCCAGAACCAACATGTTTCGTTGTGCATCACATTTATTTCTTGGCTAACTTTTCCATGACCAAATATTAGATACTTGTGATTTCCAAAAAAATTATAGAAAAAACCCTCAATAACAATTAAATGTAGTTCTACTAACCAGAAGTTGCTCCTTGTTGCTGGCCCTTCCATCTTCTTTCTGATGAGAACCCACAAAAACTTGGGTATGAAGCTTCCGATCCTCCTTTGCGCTAGATTCAGAGGCTTCATTAAACGATCCAGGAAGCTTGCTAATTAGGTTTGTTACATCCAGTTGTGAAGGACCAGATTTTTCCCTGCGATCATCAGACAACAAATTTCTTGCCGCTACTAATCTAGACAGTGCTGATAGGTCAGACCCATTTGAAACCTTTGGAGCATCATCCAGGTTCTTCCCAGTCTTGGACCAAGCAGACCTGTGAACCAATGGCCCTGAATGTGAAGCTCTTTTATGAAAATGCCCCTGGGTATCTTTGCTCACTTCTTCTATGTCCTGTGATCGTCTAGGTGGGTCAATTGGAAAACCAGACGCAACTTCTTCTTGATGAGGATTGAACATCTCACTCCGACTCTTGGAATTGGACTGGCCCCGTTTCTGAAAAAATAAAGAGTATATAATACAAATAGAGAGACAACAAAAAAATTAAAACAAACATTGTTAACTAATATGAAACAATCTTGAATAAAAAGAATAGTCACATGAGAAAGCCATTAAGCAAATCAATATAGTCCATGCCTCTTCTTATATGTCATGCCACATACAAGTAACCATACAGATCTATTCATGCATACATATAACTGGAAAAAATATCAGTATTCTTCCTTCCAGGTAATGGATCAATTGAATCAACAATGTGGATCATGATCCTTCGAAGAAATCTCAACAATCTTTAGACCAAATTGAACAAGTTTTGAACTCCCGATTAGGAAGAGACTAGGAAACAAAAAATCAGTTTATTGACAAATTTTGTCTAACTCCAACAGAGAAGCAAGAATGAAGCTAAGCCAACCCCAAGGACAAAAATGCAGCTATTAATCCCCACAAATATGCTTGAAAAAAACAAAAATAAAGAAACCTTTACACATGAAACTTTTCCTACAAATAAATTTTGACATTATAGCTTTACCTGCATTGACAAAACCAACTCAGCATTGGCATCAGGTGCTGGAATCGCCCTAGATTCTCTTGGCCCTTTCCTTTCAAGGTCAGACCTTTGTCCCTTACCACCTGTTGCTCCTTGCCTGCAAGTATCAAGAATAGAAAAACATCAGCATGTAACTCTCAGAGAAAATGAAACCACCAGTTGGCACTCCCATATGAAAGGAAAGCTATTATGCACTAACAACAGCTAAAATTTCATCCAACATTTCATTCTAGTTTTGAGGATAACACAGAAAAAATCTATGGAGAATTATATAAGTCTGTAGCTTCGGCCCATATTAGAAAGAAAATAAAAGATAATTTAGAGGATTGGATAAAATAGAACTGAAAATGGGAAATGATAAATAGGATAAGAAAAAAATTAGAGAAAACAAAAAAGACCTAGGAATAAAAAATAAGTGATTTGTTACAAGTTGAAGGGGCTAGAAGAGCTAGGGGTAGACCAAAAAGGACATGGATAGAAGTAGTAAGAAATGATTTAAGCACTAATTAATTAACAGCGGATATGGCTTTAAATAGAATGGATTGGCGAAACAGGATTCATGTAGCCCGACCCCATATAGTTTGGGATAAGCCGATAAGGCAATGGATGATATGATCAAAAAAAAAAAAAAAGGTAATGGATGATATGAGCCATTGAGCCTGTCAGATTAAAGGCCTAAATCTCCATATTCTCCCTATCTTCCATCCAAGATATAACTGTCTAACAGTCTCCTATGTCAAAGAAGCTTCAACAGTGGTTGAGGCTTCTCTTGCATGGGGTTGTACCATGCCTCCAACGGTGGAGGGTTTTATGTGGGTTATTTATCTTGATTCATCACAAAGCCCTCCTCATACTAATCATTTAAATAATATAAATATCCCCATCACCA